ACAGTCTTCTGACAATCACAATGAAACCACTTAACATTCCATACAACACTGCCTTTTCCTCAAACAAAACCTAGCAAGGCAGGTCCCACGTAAATGATCATTAGGCAGCTTTTGACTGCACAACGATGGTAGGATGTAGAAAGTAATGACGTCATTAAAAGTCATCTTGGCATGTGAGAACGTTAAGTTCTCCTCCAACTAAATTTCTAAAATGCTATGCAATCCTAACTACACAATAACTAAATGCATAGGTATGGGAAATGTATAATGCAATACTTCATAGCTTTTCACGAACGCTACTGGTCTGGCCGAACGCTCATTTTTTTTTCTCTAGTTTTCGACGATAAAGTCACAGTATATTTACATTGAATGAATTAAATTAAATTTTTTTTTCAATTTATAGAATTATGTCCTGAGAACATGGTCTATTTCAACCAGAAATGCTATCAGTTTTCGTTAAAAAGATTAGGGATGTCATCGGCAAAATCGTTTTGTGCAGACAGAAATGGAGTAATGGTAATTGTAGAATCCATAGAAGAGAATGAATTCCTAAGAATGCAGGTCTCAATGAAACGAAAGCGCAATGACACCGTATGGATAGGATATTCTAAAGTCGAGAACAGTGGTACATGGACATGGAATGGTAGCTCAAACGTATCAGATTTTACAAGTATGCTGTTTTATTATTATTGCTGTTTTTGGCTCTCATATTATAAAAAAAAAAACTCAAAACCGTTATACCTAATGCAATAAATATATAAATAAATCTGGCATGGCAAATAACAGAGATCAATATGATAAGCACTCTTTTAATAAGCAGTTGACGGCAAAACAGAATCTAGGTCCTTATTAGCTCCTGTTATGAGTCCTAAGTTTCAAAATCCATTTAATTTCTGTACATCTTCTTTCGTTGAGATACCTAAAGTTGTTTTCTATAATGATGCACCTCATATCATAATGGTGTGCCTAGCTCCATTAAAGTGTTCAGCTAAATTAAGATTATATTTGTTTCTTATAGAGATTTTGTGATTATTGATCCTTTGTCTAAATGTGCAGCCACTTTCTCCGACATAACATATCCCTTTACATATGGTACACCATAATAAGATATATATGACACAGTATTATGGGAGTTGCAAGTGAGCGAAGAGGGTCTGATGATGATTTTAGTGTTGGGTACATGGATGAGACTGTCTGTTTCAAGGATATGAAAAATACCGAATCTGTAATTACCTGGTTGGGGACGAAGAGAGAAGATTTGAGAATGTGATTAGGGATTTGAGGTTTGGTGGTTGTCTCCTAGCCAACACTGGGGGTTCTTTGAAGGCTTCAATGCCAGGTACATTATTTTTGATAATTTGTAAGTCGTTTTTGAGTTGGTTGGATAGGTGACTGAGTTGCGTGCTGTGGAGAAAACCATAGAGAGCCCCTGAGATGGGATTTTTGGATTGTATTGTAGAAGTCCGATCGCGAGTTTTGTTGGATGTTTTAGCGAGGTATCTATTTATTATTTTGATGAGAATTATATATATATAAATTTATATATATATATATAAA